TTCCTGAACACGGCTCTCGGCCACACCATTCTGCTAGGGGGAGTGGGGGAGGGTGTGAGTCTGGCGAATGCCATGAAGCTCACAGTAGGAGGCTACCTGGCGATTAAGGAATTCGCCACCGCCATCAGAGTGAAGGCGGCGGACAGGGCGGCCAAAGTGGGTGCTCGCCTGCTTGAGCCAGGCGATGATCGCAGCCGGAGCGTCACCCTTTGAGCGAAGAAGGGAGACGGAAGAATATCGGCTGTGATCATTGACCAGAACAAGCATGTAGCGATGGCCCTGGCGGGAAGGGGAGGGGTTGGGGCCCCAGAGGTCCATGTGAACGAGATCAAGCGGCTGAGCAGCAGCGGAGGGGGAACTCGGATGCGGCAGCTGTTTGAGCTTTCTCTGGACACAAACGGGGCAAGGTGGGGCTGGGGAGGGAGGGAGGGGAGGGAGGGTGAGGGGAAGACCTCGAAGGAGACCAGAGGAGACGGTCGAGCGGAGGGTGGCAAAGTTGGGGTGACCAAGCCTGTGGTGGAGGAGGACGGTGGGATGGGAGAGGGATCGACAGGAGCAAGTTGGGCCAGGGGGGAGGGGGGGAATGGTTGGGTTAGAAGGAGGGAGAGGAGGGGGAGGGATGTGAGGGGGAGGGAGGGAGCGGGAGACTGCCTGGGCAGAGGGAAGACGAGGAACCCGAAGGGTATATAGGCGGGAGCAAGGACAAAAGGGAATACGGGAGAGGAGGCGACCTGTGGGATGGTATAGGAGGCGGTGATTAGCGCGACCTGGGAAGACGGTGGTGATACCGGCCTGCTGCAGTGAGCGCTGGGAGAGGAGGTTAGTACGGAGGGAGGGGATGTGTAAACCAGTGACGGTACCTGATGGGAAGAGGGGACAGGGGAGGGTAGAGGTGTGGCGACAGGGAATAGAGAAGCTGGAATCGGCACCAAGGAGGGAGGTGGGGGCTGGGAGAGGGTGAAGGGTACCAGCATCACGAAGGACTGACTCGGTGGCTCCACTGTCAAGGACAAAGTCTAGCGTGGTGGAAAGGGGAGGATGTGGGGGAGGAGGTGGGACGGAGTACTGAATCACGTTCTCATTAATAGCAGCAGGATACATAGAAGGGGGAGGGGTTTCAGCCTGACTAACCATGCCAAAAAAGCCAGAGGAGGGGAAAGGAGTCACACTGCCTGTGGCTGAGGGCGCACGAGACACGCCTGAGAGATGAGCTGCGGAAGCGGCGGTGCCGGCGGTCCAGGCGGGGTAGGGCTGCTGGGGGGGAGCCATAGGAGGAGCTGCAAGGGGCAGCTGCGACTGGAGGTCAAGCTGCTGCTGGAGCTGATGGAGCTGCTGCTGCAGCTGGGATAAGAGGTGCTGCTGCCCATGCTGGAACTGCTGCTGTTGCTGCTGCTGAAACTGCTGCTGCTGCGGCTGAAACTGCTGCGGCAGGATCTGCTGCGCAGTCTGCTGCTGATGCTGTTGCTGAGATACGGCCTCGTGGGCCGAGGGGAAGGAGCCGGGCTGGTAGAGAGGGGAGGTACGAACCTCCTGAGGAGTAGGGCGAGGAGAGAGGGAGGACCAGCGGGGGGGGGGTGCCGTTGTTGCTGCGGGCAAACCACTCATCATTGAGCGCCTTGAAGCAAGTATCAGTGGCATGAGTGGTCTGGCCGCAGCGCTGACCCCGCGTGGGGCCATAGCGAGGGAGATACTGACAAGGAGGAAAGGCGGCTGCTGCACCACGTCCTGCACCACTGCCACCACGACCCGCACCACCACCACGACCAGCACCACGCCCACCCCCACGCCCTCCCCTGGTGTTGCGCTGCTGAGCGACTGCGGCAGTGGAGGAGGAATGGCGCAAGAGGTCGGCCTCAGTCGTGATGATCCACTTGGCGACCTCAGCCGGGGTGATGCGCTTGTCCATAAGCTGCATGTAGGCGATCTTGTGGGTGTCGAAGGCGGGAGTCAAGCCTTCAAGGAGGTGGCAGTAGAGCACTGGGTCCGGGTACGGAACGCCAAGAGACGCCAGACGACGAGCGAGGTCGAGGACGCGACGAGTGAAGGCCGCTGCGCCGGTGGTGGAGTCCATGGTGAGGCTCTGGAAATCCTTGATGAGGGAGTAGAGGATGGCGACGTCCTGCCGATCATAGAGATCGGTGAGGAGCCGCCAGAGGTGGGAGGAGGAGGTGGGAGCAAGCTCGCGCTTGAGGGTGGGAGGAATGGTGGCGAGGAGGATGGTGAGCGCGCGGCGGTCAGCGACACGCCAGGCGGCGAGGTCGGTGATGTAGGCGCGCTCGCGCCTGGCGTACTCCGCGAGCGCCTGGTACGTGTTGTAGGCGGCATTGGCGGCGTCATGCTCGGCGCGGGAAGCCTCGTAGAGCAGCTGCTGGCGGACGTGGTCGGTGAGGCCGACACGGTAGGTGCGGATGGCGGTCTCGGAGCTCTGAAGGTCGTTGATGTTAGGGGCAAAGGTTGGAGGATCGCCGGGGCTGACGAGAGCATCGCCAGGAGGAGGAGGGGCAGGGCCCGCGGGAGCATCCGGTTGGGCAGGCTGAAGATCGCGCTCCTCGAGATGGACAACGGCTTTCAGGTTGTAGCCGTTGACCGTCACCGAGGAGAGAAGCACCGTGACGGTTTGGGCATAGGAATGCCAATTGGCCGCGATGTTGTCGGGCAGCAGCTCAAGCGAGTCGACGGAGGTGAGGTCCACCGAGGAATCGGACGCCATGGAGGAGGAGGGGAAGGAAGGGGAAGAGGAGGAAAAAGGAAAAGGAGGAGGGAAAGGAGGAGGAAAAGGAGGAGGAAAAAGGAGGAGGAAAAGGAGGAGGGAGGAGAAGAGTAGGTGCGCGGAGCGCAGCTCTTAAGTCGCCGAAGGCCGGAACGAGCTGCGCGACGCGCGCCAAGGAGGATGCGGCGACGGACGGCCGCGCGCGGTCGGCGGAAGCGACGACGGACAACCGCGGACGCGGCGGCGATGGAATCGCCGACGAACAGCCGCACGCAACGGCGGAATCGGCGGCGAGCACGTTCGCGATGGGCGGATTTGTCGGCGGGTGCACGCGCGTGCCGCGACGAACAGGCGCGTAGTGAGAAAGCGCGACGAGCAGGTGCACGCGGTGGCGGAGGGCGCACGACGGGAGGAAGCGGCGACGAGCCGCACAAGGAGGAAAAGGGTGTCGACAGACGCGAGGGGAGGTGCGCGACGGAAGGGAGAGCGTGCGCGATGGGAGACCGCGACAGGCGAAGGCGCACGGACGACGCGCGAAGTAGCCTAAGAACGGCTAGGCTTCGATGACGAGGAGGGACGGCATAGGGCCGTGCAAGTTAGGATCGACTATAGGCGGTGTGAGCCATTGTGGCTCTGATACCATGAAGGAACTAGCTTTGAGGAGAAAATGATGGTTTGAGTAGGGAGCCAAGAGGCTCTATTGTACAAACATTGGAGCAAGGAAGAGATGGAGGGGAAAGTCTTTCATTGGCCGTAATGTAGACCAATGGGAGAGGTAGCTTGGAGGACAAGCAACCACAAAGTGTGGTGCTCTCCGATTGGCCACAATGTGGACCAATGGGGGAGGTTGCTTAGAAGGTAAGCAACCACAAAGTGTGGTGCTTGGTGATTGGTTGGGTCTTGGGACCAAGGACCATTTGGTTGGAATAGTGCCAACCAAATGTCTAGGACCAAATCCAATCTTGACCAACCCAAATGTGGGGTTAGTCAACCCGACCAACAACCCCCCAATAAATATAACGACTACACCTCCTGATCTAGGCATGCATGTTGTACAGATATATATTTTACAACACAGCATGCTGCCCATGTCTACGGCCAGGTATTCGATACCCGAAACCCAGCTTGTTACCCGAGCGGGCGGGTACCAGGTACCTGACCCGTGCGGATAATTAATACCCGGGTTCGGAAAAAACTTTGATTTCGCATGGCAAAACACACTTGTACAACCACTTTCTTCTGTTTCTCAATGCCTTCGCTGTTATTGCTACCCACCCGCACCCCTGGACAGACCCAACCATGAGGGACAATCAGAGTACCCAAATCCTGTTTTTAAGGGCGATAGCAATACCCTTTATTTACCATTACCGGGTCAGGTATACCCAGACCCGCCAGGCGGGTATTGTTTTCCCGGGCCCCCTAAGTCCGGGTCCGAGTAGGGTTCCTGGGCATGTTACCCGACCCATACCCGACCCGAAGTCGGGTATTGCAAAACCGGGTCGAGTCGGGTAAATACCCGGTTTCTCAACCCTAGTTCAACATGAGAGGGGAATCACGACTTCCCGCTCACGCCATTTATTCTAGACCTAATTTGCCGTGAGCCAGTTAGACCAGCCTCATTTTTACCTCCTGAACTGACCTGTAGTCGCACTAAGCACCCACAATGTCCACCCCCCTACAGCTGGCGCTAGTCCCACAGGTGCGTCAACGTTGTTTAATAAATATTGCGTGGATATTAGTCATGAGTTGTTTTTGGCATTTCCGCCCCCTCCACAACCACCTTTTTTAGGCCCTGCTCGGCGAAGACTTATGGAGGGCCAAGCCAGGGCTGGCTCCTTAGAGCCAAGCGGACCGGAGTGCCGGCCCTCAGCATCGTTGCAGCGCTCTTCAAGCTGAGCTGACATCGGTTGAGCCACACTAGACTCGTGACTTTTGGTCCAGGCAAAATTTCTACTCATGACTTTACAAGATTCTGGACCCACCGCCTGCAGGACTCAATCGAGCCACGCTCGCTGGATGGCAGTGCTTGCAACAAGCCGGTCGTTGATGAGCCGAGCTTGCGCAAAAAAAGGCACGCATCCCGGCTTGCTTTGCGCAAAAAAAGACAAGCTCTCCGGCTCAAGTCCAGCCCAAGTCGAGCTTAGCTGTCGCCAGCTCATTCCTATGCTCATGTCTGCAACATAGTCAGGCAAAGCACATACACAAAAGCAGCAATAGGCCCTTTACGCGTGGCATGGCATGGCTATGCGTGGCACTTGAGGCGTGGCGTGGCATGGCTATAGGCCCTCACAGGAGTTCAAGGCTGTGGAGGCGACTGAGGGAGTCGGGAATGGTGCCAGTGAGCACGTTGTAGGTCAAGAGACTGGGGCAGGTGAGGAGAAAGTGGTGGGGTAGAGAAATTCCTGCTGCTTCGAACGCCCCGGTTGAGAATGAGTATGAGAAAGATGGTCCACTCACAACATGGAACGAAATATGGGATTGGAGGGCGAAAAGTGCACCATCCTATCTAATAAACCAGTGGGCACTTGAACACTAAGCACAATATTATTGGCTCATTGATTGAAGCATTGAACTTGTCAGCAAAAATTGAAGGCGCTGCATCACTGACGGAAAGCATCAATCAAGCACAAGCACAAAAAATGGGACACGCGGGCCTACAACTCCTTGAGAGAGGCCATGTTGCCTATCGAATAAGGGAGGTTCCCGGAAAAGAGGTTGTAACTAAGGAGCCTGCACTTGCAGTCAGTGGAGTAAGAAGAGGAGTGTATCGAGCTATAATGCTCCTGACAAGTGGCTGGGGAAAGAGTCAATAGTATGTCAGAGCATATGCATGAATGCAGCGCTGGGCAATGATGGGCCTGTGTGCTGCCTTAGGTACCACTGGGCAAGAAAGGGCAGAGGAGGGCCAAGAGTGGCTCACAAACGAGTGACAGCAGTGAGATTGCCAAGCTCATTGGGAAGTGAACCACTGAATGAATTCTGGGGAAGATACCTGGGGAACGGGGTGGCAGAGGACACAAGGGACGTTGCACACGTGAAGGGGATGAAAATGCATCTTATCCTACCTGCTCATTCAAGGTCCTGGCCAGACAGCCATCCTAGACATCCTTTATCAACCAGTTTCGCCCTTTGCTTCCCAAATGTTGCTCTGTGGCTCTTTATGCATAACCAGCTACCCCAGCAGTCCTACTACCCACCAGCACGCTCCTAGACTGTTTATCTTGTCCTCCCTTCCATTGGCTCGGCCAAAGGAAACCGAGCAGGCTTTGCCTCCCTTCCTTTGGCTCGGCCAGTATACAGGCGTGCATTTCCTTGCCTGTTTGCCTCACACATTCTTGGCCCCCCCCAAACATAAACACTCAAGCAAAAGCAACAAATCGAGGAAGAAGGGGGAGGCGTGAGGTGTGAGGAGAGCCGGGTCTGACAGCTCTTTGAGTTGCAGCAAGTTGGCCAGCGGGGTGATTGGCCCGGATAGCTGGTTGGAAGCAAGGTACCTGATAGCACATTGGGGAAAGTGGAGGGGGGGTGATGGCGAAAAAGAGACATGGCAGATAGCACATTGCAAGGAGGTATCAATCATGGACATGTGGCGTGCAGACATGATGGCATCATGCCATTGCACGTTGCACTTGGGACCATGTTGCAGATACGCATGTGAGCTGGGGGTGCGCACATGGCAGGCTGCACGAGCTGCTATACCCACAGGTATTCCAAGTTGGTGAGGCGGCTGAAGCCATCAGGGAGAGTCCCCGAGATGGGATTGCCTGCTATCGCACTATATGCATGCAGTCAGGCGTGTAGACGAGAGGTGAACAAGCCATGGACAAGCATTAGGCAAGCCACGCACAAGTGGGCGTATATGTTAGCTATAAGCTTCCGGATGCACACTCGGGAGGCAGCTGTGTGCGGTTGATTGCAAAAGATTGAAATGCACGAATGGAACAAAGCACATCATGCCTTACGCGCAACCAAGGACCTGCCTCACAGCGTATTCAGCCGTCGCAAGTCAAAGAGGGCATCAGGGATGGTGCCTGTGATTTCGCAGAAGGTAAGCATTCTGAGAGAAGAGGCAGGGGGCAAGCAAGGGGAGGAGTGACAGTAGCAGGGAGGGGAGGGGAGGAGGGAGAAACGGAAGTTTAGGTAGAAAGGGCACGGAGGGTCACGCTGAGAGGGTTGGGCAGGGAAAGGTAGAAAGCGATTTGGGGGTTGGAGTGGGAAACCCATGGGGTGTTTATGGCCTAGCAGTGGAGCGAGTTTAAAGGGTTATGAACTCCATCTCTTGCCTCACCTGGCAAGTTGCAAGTGGCAGCCCAAGTGCCGGACGCCCAGAGATATAAGAGCAGGAGCTCACAGGGTGTCGAGGCGTTGGAATCGGCTGATCATGGCGGGTATTGGCGCTCCTAAGTTAAGCAGTTTAAGCATTCTGTGACAGAGATGGGGTTGGGTTCGGTAGACAGGACAGGGCATGAGATGTGGGGGACAGAGCGCGACATGCAGGGGACAAGGCGTGACATGCAGGGGACAAGGCGTGACATGGTAGAAAGGGCTGTATGAGATAAGCTGCGTGTAGAGTGTCCACTGCAGGGTTCAAGTGTGCAGACTAGCCGCACTGTTATGCATGTGCAGAAGAGTGTTGACTCCACTCGTCGACTCGACTCGTTCTGGGGTTGAGTCCAGTCGCTGCTTTGCTCACAGCCCAGCCCACCGACTAGACTCGAGTCTAGTCGGTCGAGTCGAGAGCAAACCTCGACTCGCCGTTTTCGGCGAGTCAAATCTGACTCTTCAGGTCGAGTTTGACTCGTTCGAGCGGCAAAAAGCCAGATCCGCGCGGATCGGCGTGCGAAATGCCGCGGGCCTAAGGGCGGCCTGGCTCGAGCCCGGCCTCCTGACCATGTCTACTGACAGTGCATTAGGCAGGTATGTTCATCGGACGGACCTCGAGCAGGCCGGCGTAGGCTGAGGACGGGCTAGGGTTTCCCTACCTCGGGCCGGCACGGCCAAGGGCGTTATGCCCGCCGATCTGCGTGGCCACCCTATCCGCGCCGACCTGGGGTTTTGTCAGCCAAAATCCAAGCGGATGGGGGCGTCTCACTGTGATGCTCTAGACTTTAGGTAGCTCAATCTTTAAAAATTGGTGTTGCAATGTTAAAGCGGATTGGTAGACCTGGTTGAGAACAGGGGTAGGTAGGCTGGGAAAAGGTTAGAGTTTGGCGAACTGGGGGTGCAACTCGGTCCGTGCTGCACACAGGCCTGTCAACGGGCTTTTCAGCCCGTCGTCGATGACGGAGAGACCGCAGCACGGGTCTGGGGCTGGGTAGGATTCAAGAGAAGCTCGGGCCCATAAAAATGCTGGGGTCATGGTGCAAAATTTCGGCAAACGTAGGCTTCAGCAAACTACCCGCCCGGGTCGGGTACCCGGGACCTGGATCCGCTTTTAGGGCGGGTCGGGTATTGGGAATCCTGAAAATTACCCGGCGGGTCGGGTCCGGGTTACCCGGACGGGTATTCAATACCCGCTACCCGAAATGCTACCCGACGTGTCGGGTAACGGGTACCTGACCCGGTCGGGTAAATAATACCCGAGGTCGGGTATTCCACCTAGACATGGGCGTAAGTCGCGCTGTGTTTTAGGTTTTGCGGCAAAACGGTTTTGGAGGTGAGGGGGGACAAATGGAGCATTTGTGAGGAGAAGTTGGAGTTTGTAGATGGGGAGGAGTTAAGTGCGGTGAAAGGGAGGGAGTTGGTTGGGAGTTGGAGAAGAGGTTGGAGTTTGTAGATGGTAGGAGTTCAGTGCGGTGAAAGGGAGGGAGTTTCGTTGGAAATGTTGGAGTTTGTAGACGGAGGAGTTCAGTGCGGTGAAAGGGAGGGAGTTTGGTTGGAAATTGGAGTTTGTAGACGGGGAGGAGTTCAGTGCGGTGAAAGGGAGGGAGGTTGGTTGGATGGAAATTGGAGTTTGTAGACGGGGAGGAGTTCAGTGCGGTGAAAGGGAGGGAATTGGGTGGTCAAAATTCGACCCCCAGAAAACGTGACTCTCATTTGAGAGTCGCGTTTTCAGAAACCCTACATAGCCTAGCCCAGCTTTATGATGTCCACTAGTAGGTGGCGGGTAGTATTACCCGCTTTTCAGGGTAACCGGATCGGGTGTACCCGGACCCGCCAGGCGGGTATTGTATTACCCGTCCCCTAAGGTCGGGTCCGGGTAAGGGTCCTGGGCATATTACCCGACCCGGACCCGACCCGAAAATACCCGACCCAAGGACGGGTATTGCAAAACCGGGTCGGGTCGGGTAATTACCCGGTTTTGCTCAAGCCTACCGGACCCGAATCCGCTTTTAGGGCAGGTCAGGTACCGGTGTTCTTGAAAATTACCCGTTTGGTCGGTTCAGGGTACCCGGCCAGGTAGACATGGGCAGCATGCTGAGCCTGGCTCGACTCGGCTTGACTCGACACGCCTCTTTGGCGAGTCGAGCCGGGTTTTTTTTTTGGCCGGCTCGCCCCAAGTCGAGCCGGGTCGAGCCAGTCGAGCCGCGCGGCTTGGCTCGACTTGTCGTAATTTTCAGGGCGAGCCGAAGTCGAGCCGGATCGACTTTGGATCGACTTCGAAGCGCGCGGCTCGCCCGTGGGGGGTCAAAATTCGACCCCCCTGGAAGTTGACAATCCATTCTAGGTTTTCGCCATCGAGCCTAAGCGTACATCTGAGATATTTTGCCACCATAGCTTGTTGTCTCTCCACCAACACCACTGCTTTAGATTTTTTTCGACTACTTTTTGATGTTGTAGGAAGGATGTAAGGGCTTAGGGACCTTTACCCGCAGAACCTTTACAGCGATCTAGCGAGACCTTTTCAAAACCTGCAGGAGAAACCCTTTTGGCGAGTCGAGCCGAGCCGAGCCAAAGTCGAGCCGACCCTTGGCTCGACCCTGAACCCCCGAGTCGAGCCAACCATTTTGGGGCAGCCGGGTCTGGTCAAGCCGAGTCCAGCCAGGCTCAGCATGAAGGAACTAGCTTTGAGGAGAAAATGATGGTTTGAGTAGGGAGCCAAGAGGCTCTATTGTACAAACATTGGAGCAAGGAAGAGATGGAGGGGAAAGTCTCCCATTGGCCGTAATGTAGACCAATGGGAGAGGTAGCTTGGAGGACAAGCAACCACAAAGTGTGGTGCTCTCCGATTGGCCACAATGTGGACCAATGGGGGAGGTTGCTTGGAAGGTAAGCAACCACAAAGTGTGGTGCTTGGTGATTGGTTGGGTCTTGGGACCAAGGACCATTTGGTTGGAATAGTGCCAACCAAATGTCTAGGACCAAATCCAATCTTGACCAACCCAAATGTGGGGTTAGTCAACCCAACCAACAACCCCCCAATAAATATAATGACTACACCTCCTGATCTAGGCATGCATGTTGTATAGATATATATTTTACAACACAACCCCCCAACATGCATAAGACTAGATTTCGTGAATCAAGAGGCGGACGAGGGAACGGGGGGAGCGAGGCCAAGAAGGCGAAGGAGGGAGGAGTGGGCGGCATGGGGGAGGGCTTTGGTGAAGATGTCAGCAAGATTGGCGGCAGAGTCAATCTTGCCCAGTTGGAGGTGGCCACCCTGCACGAGCTCGCGAATGAAGTAGTGGCGAAGCTCAATGTGCTTGGAGCGCCTGTGGAACACAGCATCCTTCGTGAGGTGGATGGTGGTGGCGTTGTCGCACCAGATGGCGGGACAGCGCTGAGGGGCACCAAGCTCCTCAAGAAGGAAGGTGAGCCAGCAAGCCTCCTGCGCGGCCATAGTAGCGGCATACAGCTCTGCTTCGCAGGAGGAGAGTGCAATGGAGGAAGAGCGGGTGGAGCGCCAGCTGATGAGGCCGCTGCCAAGGGAGAAGCCATAGCTCTGAGAGGAGCGGCGGTCAGGCCTACAGTCAGCCCAGGAGGAATCAGAGTAGCCAGTGAGGAGGGGAGGGGAGGGGCCGCCAAGGGTAAGGACGAAGTCCTTGGTCCCGCGAAGGTAGCGGAGGACACGCTTGGCCGCTTGCCAGTGGACGGCATCATGCTTGCCGATACCAACGAAGCGGGCCAATACGCTGATGGGGTATGCTAGGTCTGGGCGGGTGGAGACCATGGCATACATGAGAGAGCCGATGAGTTCAGCGTAGGGGTGGGAGGAGGAGGAGGGGGAGGTGAGGGGAGTGAGGTGGTGCCCAACAGGAAGAGGGGTGACCTGAGGGGTGCCGCGAGCCATGTCGAACCGCTCCAGGACCTGCTGCAGGTAGTGGCCCTGGGAGAGGTAGATGGTGCGAGCAGCACGGTCGCGGGTAATCTCCATGCCGAGATAGTGCTGCAACTCCCCAAGATCCTTACACTTGAGCCGGCTGCCAAGCTCACGCTTGACGCGCTCGAGCTCGGCAGAGTCGCCAGTGATGAGGATCATATCGTCGACGTAGACGAGGATGTAGAAGGGGGAGGGGGAGGTGCGGAGGAAGAGGCTGGGGTCGGCGCGGGAGGTGGTGAAGCCCAGCTCAACGAGGGTGGCAGCAAGCTTGGCATGCCACTCCCTTGGTGCCTGCTTGAGACCGTAGACCGGCCGACGCAGCTGCCAGACAGAGTCGGAAGGAAAGGGGAGGTGGAAGCCTGCAGGACGCTCCATGTAAATGAGCTCGCGCAAGACACCCTGGAGAAATGCGTTGGAGACGTCCATGGAGTGAATCTGCATGTTGAGGCGAGCGGCGAGGTCGAGCACTGCGCGGATGGTAGCGGGCTTGGCAGTGGGAGAGAAAGTGTCGAAGAAGTCGACAGCGTAGCGCTGGGTGAAGCCCTTGGCGACGTAGCGGGCCTTGTAGATCGGCGGCTCGCCAGGCAGCTGCTTCACCCGAAACACCCACTTCCCTTTGACCACGTTCGTGGTAGAGGGAGGACGTGGCACATCCACAAAGGAGGAGTTGGCAATAACCGGGTCGGGTATACCCGGACTCGCCAGGCGGGTATTGTATTACTCGGCCCCTAAGGCCGGGTCCGGGTAAGGGTCCTGGGCATATTACCCGACCCGGATCCGATCCGAAAATACCCGACCCGAGGTCGGGTATTGCAAAACCAGGTCGGGTCGGGTAATTATCCGGTTTTGCTCAAGCCTAGGTCCGGGTCTATGTTGCCATAAACGCCTTTTTAGGGGAGCATCTAGCGTTTCTACGCAGGCGTTTATACGCAGATGCTAAACGCTTGGGTAAAATTTCCAGGGCAGCCCGCCAAAAATCTTGCGAAAAAATTGCGGGGAATTTTGACGCGACGAATTCAGCGACTGATTCGCCAAGTCGTGAAACCCCGTCCCCGATCTCCCTCCACTTCACCGCATTGAACTCCCCTACATCTAGAAAACCCAACCTCACGCATTCTCCTTTCTCCTCGCTCTCTCAAAAATTCTCCCCAGTCCTCGCT